GTGATTGTATGGTAGGGGAAGAGGGGGTGGAACGTTTGTTTTGTCTGTTGCGGGTAGTGCGGGAAGGGAGAGGGGGAGGTGTTGGGGTTGTAGTGGAGATTGGAGTGTCTGTAGTAGAGATTGGAGTGTCTGGATTTAGGATGGCAAAAGAGTTTGACTGGGGAAGGTAGGAGGTAGAAGAGGGGGAGTTAGATGGAAGGGGGGGGGTAGGTTTAGGAGAGGATGTAGGAGTTTGGGAGGTAGGGGAAGTGGTAGAATGAGCAATATTACTGGAATAGGGATTGAGAGAAAAACCTCGTCGACGTGCTTCCTGTCTGGCTTCACGTAGTGTAAGTCCAAGTTTGAATCTGAGAGTTGCTACCTCAGACTCAAATTTGTAGGTGGGGGAGCCGCTATAAAATACATTATGAGGGCCACCACAGTTGGCACATGTGCGTGATTGTGCAGAGCAGTTTGATCGAGTATGGCCAGGTTGGGCACATAGTGGGCATCTGGCTGTAGAATGGCAATGTTTGGTTGGGTGTCCTAAACGCCAACAATTTTGGCATTGACGAGGAGGAGGTTGGTATGGTCGGACAGGGAGGCATTCTCCACCCATGTAAACATTAAATGGGAGGTCATGTCTATGGAAAGTAATTTTGGCGATGTTAGTGGGTTTCTTTCGATGACCTCTGGGGGGAATGGAGTAGCATTGTACAGATGTCGCATCATAGTCTGTGAGACAGGCGAGTAAGTCTTCTCCACAATCTGACCAATCTTTGTCATAGATTGGGCAGTTTGCTGGGGAGATAGAAACAGTTCCGGTGCAAGTATTGAGGGTTGGATGGAGTTCTGCAAGGATAGGGTTACCATATAGATCAGTTAGTTTTGCTAATGCTATAGCTTGGTTTTCGGATGTTACTGTGACGAGACGGGAGCGGTCGGGTCTCGTCTTTGTCTATTTGTTTTTGGAGACATTGTTGGAAGAGAAGGGTGTTATCAGAGTAGGGAGCTGTGGGAGGGATCGCGAAAAATCGGTCCCATTTGGCTGGGCTAAATAGAGTATTTAGGATCGTTGTAGAGATAGGGGTAGTAGAAGGGCGGGGGCGTGTCGAAGAGGGAATAGTGTTGAGGGAGGTAGTGTTATGGAGAGGTGGGCAATAAGGCTGTAAGGTATTAATAAGGGAGGATGAGGTGGTTGATGTTGGAGGTTGTGGGGGTAGAGGTGTTGAAGTTGAGCATGCTGGGAGAGTGGAAATATTCCTTGAGGGTTGATTGTTGGCTACTGTACTAGTAGGCATTGATGAGGGGGTAGTTGTTGCAGTGTTCGGAGCCGTGGTCAGAGGAGAGCCTGGGGTCAGGGAATCGGGAGGATTTGAATTGTTGGGGCTATTTGATGAAGGGGCAAGCCTCATTGCCCCTAATAGTGGGGTTACGTTTTCATTATTGGCCATGGTAAGCCAGGAGTATGTTGGGGAGAAACAGTCCACCCCTCAGGGTCCCCTTGAGGGGTAAGGGCTAGGCTAAGCAAGGGAATACCGTGCCCATGGCTCCCTCAGGCCGTTCAGGACTGGCACAAAGTCAGCCTTTCATCCTTTCAGCACGGCTCTCACACCTTAGGAGGTGGATAGTAGAAGGGATTGGTGAAGGGACAGAAACAAAAAAGTAGGAAGGGAAAAAAGACCATGCAAATTTAGTTGAGTCGAGGGCTGAGTCCCAAGGTTGGGGAGTTCCCCATCATTGGGTCCCAGTCTCTGCCTCCAAAGACCCCCCACGACAACAACGGGGGGTGGAGGTCGAGTTATAACCTGGGTAGATGTTTCGGAATGAGTCAAGTTGACAGCCATGTTGAGGAGGGGGTATAGGAACAGTGGTCAGATAAATGCCGTGACAGGGGTACAAAATCTGCATTACTGGCCATGGTACGCCGGAAATACATGGCTCCCTGAGGCCGTTCCAGACTGGCACAGAGTCAGCCTTCCCTACTTTCAATACGGCTCAGGAAGATATGGAACTAGAAAGTAGAAGGCCGTGCAAAATTAGTTGATTTGAAGGCTGAGGCCCTACACAGGGGAGAACTCCAACATTGGGCCTTAGTCTCCCTTTCTGGAGCCCCCACAATAACAACAGACTATAAGGATTGTATGCACACATGCATGCATGCACGCATTGTATGTGTACACATATATATATGTATATATGTATGCATCAATCTATCTACCATCCATTCATCTATTTATATATCTACTTGCCTATTTATCTATTTTCTTAATTATCCATTACTCTATCCATCCATTCATCCATCCATCCATCCACCCATTTATCTATCCATCCATCCATCTGCCTACCTATCAGTCTAACAATATATCTATCTACCAGACTATGTATATATGTATGTATGTATCTGTCTACCTAAAAGATAATACAGATAATTCCCTACTTAAGAACATTCTACTTATGAACATTCCATACATACAAGCAAAATTTTTTAAGTACTTAAGTCCAAAAAATTGTTTGAACG